AATTGCAGTGCATGAAAATTACATCTGCATCGAAGTCTCTAGATGAAGTCCGACATTAGGAGGAGCAAAGTAGGAAGGAAATGGAAGTAAGGATGATAATCAGGCATATATTGCTTACAATCTACCATCATTTGTAGCGGATTAGAGTACCAAAGACCTGATATTTACCTGCAACTGAAAAGGTATTGGATCAAATGCCAAGCGATTCCCAAATCCAACAAAATGGACTACTCTATTTTTCAGTAATATAGGGAGAATGCTTTTCAAATAAAAACTTGGCTCTGATTCTTTGGGGACATCTACGTCTGTCACCTGCATGGGATTTGCGATATCTCACTATTAACAACAAATTACTGAAGATAAGAACAAATCAGGCATGAACGCCCTCAAAATTATTTAGGATAGGAAACTGACAGTGCTACCAATTGCCTCCAAATCCAGCGACTGCAACTCCTTAGGCAGTTCCTTCACTATCCGAATATCAGGAGTAAGATAATTAATAAAATGCTCCTCCTGATAGATGTGGCTGAATTGACTATGAAATATAACAATGACTGTTACTTTTCCATCTAAGTCGTATGTAAGAATAAGAAAGACTTGAATAAATCACTTTGATATGCAGTGATGAAGCATGGTGTTTAGGGGAGCAGAAGTTAGCTAACAATAATCTGGGTAAATACACAAGATTATTTCACCGAATCAAATTATTAAAAGATGCAACTCAATTGAAGCAAGCATTTTCCTTGAGGATATCAATTTCAAGCCGGACCATTAGGCAGCCAACAGCTATCACTGGCAATCATGTTTTGTCCAACAACCATTATGTAGACTTTTTCTGAAGAAGAAATTTTGAGAAGAATATATTACCTCACATCTCTCCAGACACTGCTGTACATAAATCTAGGAATAACAAGAGATGAATTCAGCAACCGTGCAATAACCACAGCATTGCAAACCTGTTTTTAAAATAGAAGCAAGTTTGAAGCAGTTCAAAATGGTAAAGAATACAATGCATATCAGACCATTCTGAAGCAAAGACAGTTGCATACAAAACTACAGCGCAGAAACAAGTACTGAATTCAGCAACTGTCCAATAATCACAGCATTGCAAACCTGTTTTTAAACTATAAACAAGTTTGAAGCAGTTGAAAATGGTATGGAATACAATGCATATCACCCTTCAGAAACAAGGACAGTTGCATACAAAACTATGAAACTTGGTTGCATAGGAGTAATCATGAAAGCTGCTGGCCAAAGCATTACTTACAGCTACTCGTTGCTGGTTCATCCCCCCATTTGCAGTGACCAAAATGTAACCATTATTTCCCTCTACGAAAGAGAAATACCATGTTAGAGCCAGTTTTGCACCACCATAACACACTATTTACTCAAATGTGAAACATCCAAGACATTTCCACAAGAGACACACAGGCAGAAACACACGCCAATGCAGACATCAAGTCAAATACCCACCTGCATAAAAACACAAACACGCACAGAGAAAGTACGTTACCACTAGGATTCCAATCACGATGATCAGCGCAAGGTCTCCAAGCAGAGGCAGGAACAAATGGCTCCTGCCACAAATCTTTTGGCTCATGTTTATTCTGTTCCCATGTTAAATATCAGGAAAAAAAAATATTAATACAGAACTCCAAAAAAAATAAGAAAATCACAGCTACAAAAGATTGGATCCAAAAAACTCATCACACCAAAACAAACTATATATTTGGATAACAAGATAAAAATTCGCCAATTCAAATACCTTAGCAAGGGAATGGGCAGCCAAAGCTAACATCCTATCATAAGTATCCTTTCGTGGCATTTTTCCTTTGCCAATCTTTTTCAATCCATCCTGCATTCAAAAATTAAGCAAACAATAATGGGATTTAAAAAAAAATACTTAAATTCTCCAAATCATTCACATATTACACAAACTTTACATATCTCTCGTAAATTAAGAATAATGAAATACAGCAATTAAACACCTTTTTGCTTTTCCAAATTAATATAAAGAATCAAAATATGAACTTTTTAAGCTCAAATCTTCCAAATTAACGACAAATTAACAAACCATAGAATCCATAAAGTCACTCCATTTCCTTCTCCAAGTTCACAAAACATTACTACAGCTATTTTTTTTTAAAAAAAAAAATGCACCTTGATTGAAACTGAAATTGAAGGAGAATTTTGAACAGACATGTCTTTGTTGCCACTGGTTTCATCATCAAGTTGAAGCCTTAAAAGCATGAAGCCATTAAAAATAAAAAACAAACCCACCAAACAAACCAAACCCAGAATTCCTTTGAATTGCTTCTTTCGATACCAAACAACCTTCCCTCTCTCTCTTTTTCTCTTCCATTTGTTTTGCCCGAGTCGAGGAGAATGAGTCGGTAATGAGTGTGGATTGGAGAGGTCAGCTGATGGGGACATGCTAAAAAGGTTGACAACAGAAAAATTTACTCCTAAATTTATTTTATCATTGAGGCACCACAGATGAGGTGGCCTTTAAGGAGTGTAAATCGAGCTGGATGATTGCTATAATTTTAGATACCATAACAATTTTTTGCTATAAACAGCATTGGTTAGAGACAGAGAACATATAGGATCCTGAGATGGTAATCCTATTTGTAGCCTCTTCTTGATGAAAATTTTGCATGCGCCAACACAAACCTCTGAATCATTCCACCTTGTTTTTTTTAGTTTACGGTGAGCTGGAATATATATATATATATATATATGATTTCCTTTGTGCATTGCCAAGTTGAGAATCTAGCTTAACTGAGAAATGCTAGATTGAATTGCCTTTAGGACTCTGTAATCTTGTTTTTACTTTTGTTACAATTAAGTTCAATAATGCCAATCCTTTCAAAAG